AAGTTAGAAGCTGATTGGCTACCATGCACAGCTGCACCAGATTCTGAGTGCTCTAGTTTTAGTAAATCAACCCCAAAATGACAAACAAAAGCATAAAGCATCATATAATTGAGTTTTATATCAAATACATAGAAAAAAATTTAACCTTTTGAAGTTTTCATACTTATCTTCTATTTGATCACAGTATTACATATTCTATTAAGGAGCTCCATTTATTTTTGCTGTGCAATACTTTATTATAAGTGTTTGCTTACTTGTATGCTTCTTTTCTACTTGTACATGATTGCCCCATTATGCTTCACACTTTTTCTTAAAGCAGTTGCATGATTGATCTCCTGGGTTCTACAAAAGTATATGATTGCTCACGCTCCCTCTCTTCATCTGTACCTTCTTTTGTAGAATTTTGTGCTGCTCCTTTTTTTGCCTTGCAAGTGGTGTCTGTTGGGGTTCCTGGATGAGTTCCAGAATTAATGTAACCTCCTCATCTATATTTACAGGCCGTTCTGTCTTTCTTGCTTGATGCTGAAGCACTGGTTTGTCGGAGGCTCTAATTTCCTCTGAGATTGCTAGAGCAGCTGGTGGTGGAAGTGACTGCTGGAACAGATGGTACATTGAACCTGTAAAAAAAGGTAAGCATTGGTAAGTATCTTGAAAGGTTTATTTGATGATGCTTCTAAAATACTTTGAAACTGGACCATAAAATAAGCTATTATTTTTTGTGAGAGTTACCATGTCATATATTAATTTACCTGTAGTGTCATCTACAGTTGAATGTCTTCTTAAAAGATTACTAGATAGATAGAAAGATCCATATCCATGTAAAGAAATGTATGCTTGAATATTATTATTATTTTTTTTGTTTACAAACTTTTTTTTATTGACAAGAAGAAATACAAAATCAGCAAATAGCAAAACATATTATTATTATTATACGCTCCTTCAGCGTTACCTATAACGCTACCACCTCCCCCTCTCTGTTGGAGTCCCCCAAGGCTCTGTCCTCAGACCCTTCTCTTCTCCATCTATATCTCCTCCCTTGGCAAACTGATACACTCCCACAGCTTCAACTATCACCTCTATGCCGATCACACGCAAATTTACCTCTCCACCCCTCACCTCACCCCTTCAGTCTCTGCCCGTATCACCCACCTGCTGAACGACATATCAGACTGGATGTCGCTCCATTTCCTCAAATTGAACCTTTCCAAAACCGAGCTGCTAATCTTCCCCCCAGCCCGCGCCCCCCCACCCTCTCCAGAAATTCTGAAGGACCCTCTGCACACTGGTAGATACCCTTTCAAGCAAACTATGCAACAAATAGGGATATTTGGTTCACACATATTGCAATACATGTTTAAGCTGGCCAACTGCGTCAAAGTAATCCCTCTATGGCCAGTCCTACTCTGCCCTGCCTACGCAAGTGCTACTGTGGACACAATGCTAGCATAGGGGAAAAGACACAATGGGGAGAGCTACAAGGTTCAGGTCTGGCTACTGACCCAACAATACAACAAACAAGAGATCCCTGTGCTCAAATCCATACAGCTAGTGCATGCATTTATCCATCAGGTGCTAAAGGGGTGTAACCACATTAACTCTAGAAATTCTGAAGGACCCTCTGCACACTGGTATATACCCTTTCAAGCAAACTATGCAACAAATAGGGATATTTGGTTCACACATATTGCAATACATGTTTAAGCTGGCCAACTGCGTCAAAGTAATCCCTCTATGGCCAGTCCTACTCTGCCCTGCCTACGCAAGTGCTACTGTGGACACAATGCTAGCATAGGGGAAAAGACACAATGGGGAGAGCTACAAGGTTCAGGTCTGGCTACTGACCCAACAATCCCCCCACCCTCTCCATCACAACCAACAACGCCACCATCAGTCCCACCCCGCAAGCCAAAGTCCTAGGTGTCATTCTAGACTAAAACCTGTCCTTCCAACCCCATGTCCAATCATTGACAAACTCATGCAGGCTCCACCTCCACAACATCTTCAAAATACGTACGTTCCTAACCCCAGACACAACTAAACAACTCGTTCACTCCCTCATTATTTCACGACTTGACTACTGCAACTCCCTTCTCACTGGCCTACCCCAACACAGGCTATCCCTGCTTCAGTCTATCCTGAATTCAGCGGCCAGACTCATCCATCTTACCAACCGCTACGCTTCTGCCACCCCCCTCTGTCATTCCCTCCACTGGCTTCCGATTGCCCAACGCATTAAATTCAAACTGCTAACACTGACATACAAAGCCATTCACAATGCTGCCCCAAGCTACCTCACCGACCTGATACCCAAATACCACCTAACCCGTAATCTTCGCTCCTCACAAGACCTCCTACTCTCTAGCTCCCTGGTCTCCACCTCCCACGCCCAACTGCAGGACTTCTCCAGGACTTCCCCCATCCTCTGGAACTCACTACCCCAATCCATTAGACTGTCACCTACCCTCCTCACCTTTAGGCGCACTCTGAAAACCCATCTCTTCAGGGAAGCCTACCCCACCCTCACCTAACAGCCAATCTCCTCCACTCCTTCTACCACTCCATGCCCCACAGCCGCTTCCTCCTGTACTTTCCCCCCCCTCCTAGATTGTAAGCTCGAAAGAGCAGGGCCCTCGAACCCCTCGTGTATTGTCTTGTCACTGTATTGTCTTATGTTCTGTCCCCCACTATAATGTACAGCGCTGAGCAAACCTTTCTGGCGCTATATAAATACTGTATAATAATAATAATATATTATACAGGGTTTATATAGCGCCAACAGCGCTTATCACAAATAACAGTGATACAAGAAAACCAGGTGCATTTCAGTTTAAGAAAGACAGTCATGAAGTAAAAACCAAGTACATGAGAGAAGCATGTAATGACATGGCAGATAAACAGCATAATATACAAAAAGCAGGGACAAAGCCAGTAGGGGTAGACATTCAATCCAACAGTAAATGTCGATGTATCTTCAAACTGTCCCATTGGATGTTAAATAAATGTATGCTATCCAGTAAAGTGTAATGTATACATTCCACAAGCATGACCATATCAATTCTTCGTAAAACAGAGGCCAAAGGGACCACAGGTGGTTTCCAATGTAGAGCTATTGCACACAGGGTAGATACGCAGATGGCATGGATTCACCTCATCAAACCAGCAGGAACCCATGGAATGGGCGAACCTAGTAAACACATCTGTACCGACAGAACAATAGGAGAACCCTCCAGTGCAGAGGCGACCTCCGATATCTTATGCCATATCAGGGATAGACCAGGACAGGTCCAAAACATGTGTATGAGAGTTCCAGTGAGGCCACAAGCCCTGATACAGAGGTGCATAACTCCCAGGAACATAACATGCTGTCTGGAAGGGTATAATACCAACAAGTAAGAACCTTAAGGGATCAAACTGAAAGAGATCTAGAGCCCTTACGAATGTTGTCCAAGATGGTATCCCAGTCATCATCTGAGTATGTTGTGTTACACTCAAGTTCTCATTTTAATCTATAGAGGGGAGGCGTAGTAAACATCTAGGAAGCGATAAGGTTGAAATAAGGCCTCTGCCCCTAGGTGTGTCACAGCAGATACTTTCAAATTAGGTAAGCGGTGAAGAGGGTGTCAAACCAAAATGGAAAAAAAAAAAATGATGTATTTGTAAGTAATGATAATGTTCATGAAGTGGGGCATTAAAGTGGGTCAGCAGTAGGTCAAAAGAGATAAACAACCCCCCTCTTTGAAAGTCCGCTAGTCTAATGAGGGCCCAGTCATACCACCAAAAAAAGCAAGGGACATGAGAAAGCCGTAGCAAAATTCAGATCCCCCAAAAAAGTTGACCCAGGAGGGACAGGGCAAGCAAGGCCCAATTTGGTTTTATATATCGGGACCATAGTATCAATGTCTGAAATACAATAGTATTATAACGTGACAGGAAGCGTGGCGGAATAGTAGTCCACAACAGGCCGGAAGATAAAATGGGTGTATTGACTGAGACTCAAATCTAACCCAGGGGATTGGGGATTTAATGGCAGATATATAATGGAGCCAAAAAATTGGGAAGGCCTAAGCCCCCTGTGCATTGCAATTTATACAAGATTAGTGAGGTAAAACGAGGACGTCTATTGTGCCAAATAAAATTATTGACCACACGTTGGAAATGATCAAGATACAATTTAGAAACCTGTATTGGGAACGCTCTAAATAAATAGAGGAGTTTAGGCAAAATGTTCATTTTCACTGCCGTGACTGTACCCAAAAATGAAATGGGATATTTGTGCCAAATTTTGAGCAAGGTATGAAGACGGGACACACATGGCGGGTAATTGGCCATTAACAGGTCGGAATCCCTGGGCGTAAGATAAATACCTAAATATGGAATCCGGTCCATGGCCCATTGAAATGGGAAAGAACCACAGAGGGACTCACTGAGGGGTTGAACAATATTGATGGGCATAGCCACTGATTTGGAGAAAATTACAGTAAGACCCGATATGGATGCAAAATCATTCAGCAATGAACATAAGTTAAGCACTGATATTAGTGGGTTAGGTTAGTAAGAAAAACCATAACATCATCAGCATACATGCTAAATTTGAATTGAGAAGTCAGTACAGGTTATATCTGGGTGTAACTTTATAGCAATGGTTAGGGGTTCTGGGTTAAAGCAAACAATAGGGTTGAAAGTGGGCAACCCTGATGAGTGCCTCTGCCCAGAGTAAAAAAATCAGAATTACAGCCAGGCAGCCTAATCCTTGTTTGAGGAGAATGGTATAGGGCTTTCACACCCGATATAAATTTGTTCCGAAATCCCATACGCTGTAAAAGTGAAAACAAATAAGGCCAAAGGACACTGTCAAAGGCTTTATTAACCTCCCTGGAGGTATTCCCGAATTGTAGCTCGGGGTAAAGTTTCAGCACCACAAGCAGTAACCCCGAGCTACACTCGGGAATACCTTGCAGCGTTGCTGCTTCTGCACTTACCTTGTCCTGCGCTCCCGCGATGTCCCCCTGCAGTTTCCCCGGCAATGTCCTCCGGCCGATACCGGCATCTGTCTTCCGAGTTCCATTCCCTGTGACGTCAGGACATATGGGGATGGAACGGGTGGGAGATTTGAAAATTTTAAAAGTAACATTCACTAAATTCAATAAAATCACATAGTAAAACATTACTGTATCAAAGCATTTCACATACATTTTGTCCCTAGTGCTTTGTCCTGTGCCCTGCCTGCATTTTTACTGTTCTTTCTGCCTTGAAACTGAGAAAAGTCCATGGCATCCAAAAAGCATCCCTTTAGGTCAAAAGCGGTTTTAGACCAGCTAGAGAACAGAGATAGTAAATTAGAACTACTTGCAGAATTGAGTGATGATTCGTGGGGAAATTCGTCATCAGACACTGAAAACGATTTTGCGACTTTGCTCAGTGATGTGTGTGAACTGGCGTTCTATTTCAAATTTCAGTGTTTTTGGTTTGATTATATTGTTGAATTAAAGTTATTATTATATTATTATTTTTTTTATGATACTTATTAAATTATAATTTATGATTTCGTGTTTCAAATTTTAACATACCCAGAATGTTTACTAGACTCTTGTTCGGACAGATTTCAGTGAGTTATTCCTAAAATTTACAGGCCTACAATAAAAAAAACTACATTTTTCCATGCAAAAAAAAGTACCGCTTTGAGCACAGAAATATGGACGTAATCAGACCGCTAGGGAGGTTAATGTCCAGACTCATCAATAAGTCCTCTTTTGAATGTGAATTAGCATCTTGTGTGTCATTTAGAGTAAGTTGTATGTTATCTGTAATAAGCCCCGATTGGTCAGGTGAAACTAAGGAGGAGACTATAGGGCCAATCTATCTGTCAGGGATCCCCTCGATCCCCGCCGCGATGGTCCCGGCGCAGGCGCAGTGTGCCACCCTGTGCAGGGACTCGAGCACTAGGTCCGGGCCGGCCGCGGCGTTCGAGTTCACGCATGCGCAGTAGAAGCCGCGGCCGCCCGCTGGGCACCAATGGCAGCGCAGGGCGGGATATTTAAACGACCCTGAGCTGTCATTCAGTGCCTTCTGGTCTTATCTGTATTCTGTATCTGCGAACCTGTGAATTGTAAGTTGCTGACCCGGATTGTGCCTTGACCTTGCTGTATTTCTCCTGCCCTGACCCTTGCTTTGCCTGACCTCTCTCCTGGATGCCCCCTATTGGGTTTGACCTGCTGTTGCTGACCTGGCGTGTGACCCGACCATTCTATGCCCGCTGCCTTGTACCTTGCCGTCCTCTCTGTTACCGACCCAGCCCGTCTGACCTTGCTCATCCATCCATCCATCCCGTGCAGTGGGGTCTGCTGACCTCCTCATATCAGACTCTTCCCCATGGGAGCCCTTGGCGCATACCACTACCACTGACGGACGTACCCAGTAGCCACGACCTGGTCTCAAGGGGCTCCAAGTCCATCCCCACCATCAGGGGCCCTGGTGAACAAGCACCCTGGGACTTAGACTCCGTGCGCTGGGGATGCCTATTCAGTGGAGAGCTAGTGGTACCGCCAGGCGGTCCCTTACACTATCTTTCAAAATACAAAAAAAGCTTTAAATCATTATTTATAACGGAGATGAGTCTGTTATTTTACGGTAATAGGTGGTCTTTCAAGGGTTTTGGCAACAAAGACATGTTAGCTAAGAGCATCTCATCGGGGAATTTATACTCCTGTAGAACCCCATTAAACATCTCTACCAAATACGGGGCAAGAAGAGGGGAAAAGTTTTCATAGTAGCTGGCTAAGAACCCTTCAGGGCCTGGGGCTGTGGACCATTTCAAAGCATTAATTACATGAAGGACTTAATCTAGCATACATGGAGCATTAAGGGAGGAGGCCTGGGATGGAGTCAGAGAGGGAAGAGGTATAGAATCAAACCAGGACTCAGCAGCAAGAAAAGGGACAGAGTGGGGAGGGGCTACAAGGTGGAATAGAAATCTCTAAATATATCCAAAAGCTCATGGGGTAATGAGGAAACATCAGCTTTTTTATTGCGTAATTTATATACAGGGGGGGGGGAATCAATTGGGTAAGTTTGCGTGCAAACATAGTAGAGGCCAAATTGCTGTGCAACAAGAAAGATGCCTTCGACCAACGCAGTGCTTTCTCAGTTTTATGGGACAGTAGCATATTCAACTCAAGGCGTTTTTGAGTTATCAGGTATCTGACTATATATAGGGGTTGCCTATATGATTTCTATAATGAAGTTCCAGTTCCCTAGTAAGAGCCTGAATCTGCCACCAGCGTTCTTTATTCCTTGTGGTCACCATAGAAATAAAGCGGCCTTGGAGAACTACCTTGTGTGCCACCCACAACATAACCGAAGAGGTGTCAGGAGTGTTATTTAACTAAAAATATTCCTGAATGGATGTAGCCACTTCCTGACGAGAGGTTCTGGGTCTGTGAGCAAACAATCATTCAAACTCCAAGAGGAGGGGGTATCAGCTAAGCCTATAAAAGCACAATATTATGGTTCAACCAAGGACACAGATGGATCCTGGAATCTGTGGAGTTGGCCAAGATAATCGGAGTGCAATAAATGTAATCCAGTCTAGCATAAGAATCATGAGAGTGGGATTAAAAAGTATAGTCTTTGGCACAAACATTGTGCACCCTCCAAGACTCTGTCAATTGGAATGAGTAGAAGCGTTTCGGAAAGGGATTTCAGAAAGGCTGAAGAGAGAGGTGAAAAGGTGCTCCTATCTAAAAATGTGTTGGCTACCAGATTGAAATCACCACCCACCAACACATGGGAGGACATATATTTATCGAGAACAATAAAAAAATTGGAGAAAAAGGTTGCCTGAGCCAAATTCGGGGCATAGACATTGGCTATAGTGAGTTCACGTCCTAAGCGGATGCCCTTGATAATAGTACGTGTATGCCGGCCGGCTCCACATCTGTCTCCCTCCTGCTACCATGCTCCCTACCATTGAGACACGAACATATTAGGCACCAGTGACAGCCATTCTACACAGTGTTTTCTACACCAAATACCCAACATGCTTGTATTACTCTACTATCAGGTGAGTGTTCCTACTTTTATACTGTATTAAAGTGGTCTGCTGCACTTAGAAGCGCTTCTTCTTCTCTCCTTCCCATTTAAGACACACTGGGGTTCATTTACTAAAAGTGGAGAATGAAAAATCTAGTGCAGCTCTGAATAGAAACCAATCAACTTCTAATTTCAGCTTGTTCAATTAAGCTTTGACAAAAAAAAACTGGAAGCTGATTCTATGCAAAGCTGCGCCAGATTTTGCACGCTCCACTTTTAGTTAATCGACCTCATTTTGTACTTGTTTATCTGAACATAGAGTCTTTACTGTTCCTATTTTCTTTGCACACATACTTCAAATCAAAGTGTTCTTTTTTGTATTGTAGTTAGGCATCACTACAAAAAGAGACAGCAGTATAAGCATTGATACATACCAATTTCGCAAAGATTTTGATCTATTTAATTGTGTACAAAACTTCTCTATGTAACTGAGTGTAACTTCCTGCAAATGCATTACTCTTTATGGAGTGTTGTTTGTAGCAAATTATTTATCTTTAGAAAAACTCAAATACAGCAAGTTCAGTTCTTATAGAAATATTTTATTTATAATGTTGCATTCACAACTAGTGAAGAGCTAGACTGTTGTCATGTTCCATGCATTTAAATTCCCCCCTCCCTTTTTTTTTTATTACATTACCTTCTTTTGCCATTTAACCATTGACAAATTTGTGGGGGGGGGTTTTGTCTAAGAAAGCTGCATTGCATTGAGTTGTTATACAGTATATAGACCTTTGATTTTCATAGTCCAAATATAGCAAAGTAGCATGAGGTCACTTAATTTGTCTGGCAGTTTTGGAGGATTCGGTCATCAAGTGATGCTTGGTTGATCAGACATCTAGTATGGTTTAGTAAAACATAAAAGTGCGGTGCTTATGATTTAGGAGTATAGATCCACCACACTTTCAGTTTGGAGATCTCTCGCTTAATATGGCTACCCCTCTAATGTTTGGAAAATTCTTAACTTACTACACTATGAGGATTTTTTTGCTTTTTGAATGGGTTTGTCCTCTATGAGGATACATCTTTTCTGCAGGATTGTTTTCTCTGTTCAATGTTTGTGAGTTAAAGTTTGGAGCTCTACCAGTGTCCAGATCACAGCCAGTTTTTGGAATTATCCAACGGGTGTTTTTTATCCATCTACCACTGGGGACCAGTTTAATCCTTTGATGTCATAAAGTGTCCAGGTCCATGGCATGCGTTTGGATTTTGTATTGCGTATTTTGACCCAACCTTAACCGGGGGTCAATTTCATCTGGTAAGAGGCAGAATTTTTTGGGTGTTGGTGGATTTTCTTCATCTTCTTGACCAGATTTGAAGCATTCATGACAACATTGATGTCCCATTAAAGGGGCTTATTCTACGTTATATCTCCTTCACATATGTGTTGGACTTTTCATTTACTCCATGTATTTGCACAAATTTTTTTGGTTATATGTAGTACCACACTTTTATGTTTTACTATTTTATATAATGTTGCCTGCAATATTAAGGTGGCTGCTTATGTTCTATTGATTCTTTTATGTTAGGGAGTCACATATATACTATAGCACAGAATTTTTAAGTTATATTTTTTTTATCTAATTTGGTTTGCTGAGCAACCTGTAGCTCATCTAAATCAGTAGGCTTTTGGTTTTGGGTGCTTTTCACGGAGTCCATATGCACTTTCTTGGCAGATAGCCTACTGTATATTTTACACCGATCAGCCTTAACTTTATGACCACTGACAGGTTAAGTGAATAACATTGATTAGCTCATTACAATGGCATCTGAACGTAGTAAATTATTTTAGAAAGCAAGTTAACATGTTGTTCCTGAAGTTAATGTGTTGGTCAGTCAGGGTGCCCATGTTGATAGTGGCTAAGTGGTTAGCACTTCCGACTAGTAGCACTAGTGTCGCTAGTTCAAATGCCAACCATGACACTACCTGCCTGGAGTTTGCATGTTCTCCCTGTGCCTTCATGGGTTTTCTCCCACTCTGCAAAGACATGCTGGTAGGTTAATTGGATCCTCTCTAAATTGGCCCTAGTATGAATGTGAGTTAGGGACCTTACATTGTAAGCTCTTTGAAGTCAGGGACTGATGTAAATGTTCAATATATATATATGTAAAGTGCTGTGTAAAATTGACAGCGCTATATAAGTACCTGTAATAAAATAAATTCATGTGGATATTACTTTGACACATACCACCTACGTATCTAAACATTACTGCTGACCAAGTACAGCCCTTCATGGAAAAGGTATTCCCTGATGGAAGTGGCCTCTTTCTGC